AATAATAATAATAATAATAATAATAATAATAATAATAATAATAATAAATAAAAAATCAGTTTAAAATAAAAAACAACAGTTATGAACCGTTAAGTATAATTCGCTTAGTCTTTGTAATGTCTAACAAGAGGCGGTATTACGATGATTATCAAGTAAACAATGAGCGTCCAGATGGGCAAGAATATGTAGTAAATTGGTAATTGAGGGTTTTGATTTTCCAACTTATAGCAAAGAGTCAGTTGGGCAATGATTTTCATCAAACATATGACGAATATTATGCACCTACGACTACCGCAGAACACGGGCATTTCGGTCATCGCTTGGCACGAATTGCTATGCACACAAGAGCATATTATGAACAGCGCAGTAAGTGCATCGTCCAACCAAATCGGCATGAATATCAAATACCAACTCTGTTTCTGTTTGGTCTGCAGTTGTATAGTGAGCAGCACCAAGAATATCACCATTGAAGCCCACGTGGTCAGTGCACGTTGAGTTAAAGCCATTCTATAAAATAAAATAAACGGTTTATATTAAATTTACATAATTTCAAAAGCCTGCAACTGCTTGAAAATTTAAAACAAGTATCTGTAGAATGATTTTATTTTGATCAAAAACGTTTTTAAATTAAGTATTGTATTATACAACAATATACTGTAATTGGTTTTCGATATACATCTCGTTCATTACTTATAGATTCTAAAAATGCAATGTAATTTTCAATATTTTAATGGGCAATTACTTCAATACATATTTTCGTATTTTTATTTTATTATTATTTATTTATTTATTTATTTTTTTTTTTTTTTGGTAAAACTATATATGCAGTTATTGTGATGCATACTTATAATTATATAATTAGGAGATACTATATCTCACACTTAAGGATAAAGTAAAGAAATAACAAGTATTAAAAAAATATTTTTAATACAAAACGTACAAAATGCATTGATTTAAATCTGAATACATATTATATCTTACATACAAAACTAAGTATATACAAATAAATTATTCGAAAGTTAATATGCCTATAACATGGGGCATTTATAATAGTGATCGTCTTTGCAGCAGTATTCTTTGCCGGTAGACAAAAGCGTGTTGATCCAAAAGTCATTGCAATTTTTGACGAAAAGATGAGCCTGAAAAACGATCAATATCAATATTAGGATCACATAATATAACGGCGGGAAACATCGATTTATCGATTGGTATAATTAACTCACTCGTTCTTTGTAAACGTCACGATCTACTGAGCCACAGATTATTGCCGGACTGTTCGGCAAATGTTTAGCAATCTGAAGGAAAACGATGTAAATCAAAAATATTTACTGAAAAAGTACTTTATTAGTTCAGTGGTACTCACGATCTCTAAACATTTGTTAGTGCATGCCTTAACTCCTAGAGCGTTGCAAGCGGCAGGTTCATCTTGCTCGTTTACCAGTGCGGCATATCCTGTTGGCTGTTTACTACTGCCTTTAGTGATCTGGCTACTCAGGAACACACCACAAGTACAAGGCGTTTTTTGATTGGACATCGATTGCGTATGACCTGACCCAGGCGACCCAGGTAAAGTTTGTACTCCTGGTACGTGGTTTATCATATCATTAAGTTTTTGAACAGGGTTCAAAGCCACAGCCGCAGCTTTTAGTACACCACCATCGAAGTAGTCAGAAACACTAACGGTTAAAGAAAAATAAAATTTAACAAGAATAAACTTACAATAATAATAGATAAAGAATAGTAAATAGGTAGTGATAAAAATATAAAATGAATATCATATTATATTTATATGGATATAGTTCTATGATATACAGTTTACATTTACTTTTTTTTTTTTAATGCATGCTTTTAAACGACCAAATAAGAAAATAAAGCTATGAAACAACTTACCACAGGGAAATCGATCCGAATGTGATGATTGAGAAAAACATAGCAAAGGCTTTTTGACCAACCATATAGAACATCGAAACACTACTTGTTGAACTTAAAACGTGATTTACAAGAATGCCCATGTTTTCATCCGTGTAACAGTATTTATAAACTTATTAGTCACAAGACTTCCTCAAACGAGTGTTTTGTAAACACAATATTTACATTTAAACAAACGGAAAAGCGGCAAGAGATGTTTATAGTTTATGAAACGAGAAACAATATTATTCAGGAAACTCGTTCATTGTGCTCATTTTTGTAAACACAACATGAATTTACGAGTAATGATCTAAAAACTCTGTTATGACAAAACAATTTTAAGGTTTAGTTTACGGTGATACTACATTGTTTCAAATTCCACAACAATAAAACTAACACGAAGTGTGTTATTTTTATTTGGTTCTAAATAAACATTATATTATATATTTATACAAATATATTATGTATATTATAATCTGTATGATCATCATAATATTCAGAACAAAAACTTAAAATCCATTATAATCTGATAAAATAAGTAGAATAAATTGGATAAAAATCAAAATGTATTAAAAGTTGTAAGACCAATTAAGACTATTACTTTGGAAGATTTATAAAAAATAGTTTTTGTATTTTATTTCAACCTTAAAACTATAATAATTCGCTATTATTTTATATTATGAACAAGATTAAAAGTATTATAATCAAACTAGTAAAAAAAATAGCAAATAAAACACCATTGTATCAATTAGATAAAATAAAATATTTCCCATTAAATCAACTTATTATTTTTATGTTTATCTAAAAAATGCGGAAATATAATTAAAATATGAAAGTATTTAAATACTCAAAATAAATTAATATAAGTTTTTAAAAATATAGGTACTGTTTACTTTTCACATCGAATTAAGAAATATATAAAATAAAAACATTATATTTTGAAATATGACATATTATAATATAATGATACAATTATTATAATGTAATCAAACTGTTTTATAGTAATATATTTATGCTTGTACAGGTAATAGTTAAAAAGTAATACAAATAATAATAATTAAACTAACTCAAATAATTTGTAGAGGGTACCAATAAAGTATTATATAATATTTTTCTTTTAAATTAATTTCCTATTTCAATACAAATCTTAAATTGTAATAATATTTTTATTTATGACATTTGCTGTTCCTTCCATCACTACTTTATCTCCAACAATACACCAAAATCCGCATTTAATAAGTTTTCTGATACTTTGTATCTCAACTTCAATTTTAACTTGATCTCCAGCATAACAAGCATTTGGAAACCTTATGTTTTTGGACACGAGAACACTACCCATACCAGGCAATTTAGTACCAATCACCCCAGACACCAAGCCAGCTAAATAAACACCGTGTACCAATGGGCGATCTCCAAAATGTATATAATTCGTGTCACCACTTAAACGAGCAAAATCATCAATATCAGTCTTGTTTATGTGTTTTAATATCATTATGCGATCTCCTACTGCAAGTACTTTAATGGAGAATCGCCTACTTAACTTTATCATAGGAAACATTATCGATAACGTTTAAAAGTTCTAAATATAATATGGTATCTTAAATATAGTATATACTTGGTTATTCAGGTAGTCCGATCGTAGTTACGTTGTGTTAGAAGTAATCGCAGAATGAATATCTTGTTCGTTACAAAAGTCTGTCAAAAATATTTTCGCCACATTCCTAAGCCTAGGATTTTCGCTCTGAGCATGTGATAATATACTACCAACAATAGACGGGTTTACGATATCTGAAAAAAATGTATGAAATAACATAAAGTAAGTATTTTAAAAATTGTCTAAACACAACATAATTTTAAGATTTCTCATTTCCCGCTTAATTAGATTGATTTAACAATACATAATTAAACCATAAGTTATTAATATTTTCAATTTCTTTAATCAGTCTGCCCTCACAACATATAATCATTCAATAATGCTTTCAATAAAAACATCATTCCATTTGATACTTAGCAACTTAAATTTAATAATTAAATAGCCTACTATTAATCATATAGTCAATTAATCTCCGTCTGAATTTTAAATCAATAACAAAAGTAAAATACTGTAGATTTTTTAGTGAATAAACACTTATTATTATTCATAATATTTCAATAAGTGTTTGTTTTCTAAAATATGAAAATAAATAATAGATTAGATAAAAAATGGGGAAGTTACGACCTATAGGCCAATTGTAAGTTGCTTATAATGTGGTCTGCAATCCATAGTTATGTAAACTCAAAACACTCCATCAAAAACATACCAATTGAATCAATATATATGTGTGTGTTAAATTTTAGTTTTTACAGTAAATAATTTCATAAACATTTACTAAATAAATAAAATGTGTTCACCATAAATTTTAAGTTGTATTTTTAATTATTTGTTAATGTATAAGCCCCATTCTTAGAATAGTTGATAATATATTATAGTTTAAATAATCACCACATAGTTTTTAAGTATACAATACACTTATTACACTAACCTAACCATTAGCTACTGTAAAAATTAGTTAAATAGTTTATTTTGTAAAAATAAATATAAAAATATGTATGTAAATATTTCAAGTAAATTATTACTAAGATAGAATTTAAAAGAAAAATGGCCAAATATTTTTAAAGTTAAATATTTCCGATAATGGTTTTAAGTTATTGATGTACTAACCCAGTAGTTCTCAAACTTTTTTGTCCGCGGAGCGGACATATGTTTCCAAAAAAATTTACGGAGTCCCGAAAATCAGGAATTTTTTATTTAAGACAACAATAATTATTAATATTTCATATTGAGAAAAACACACAGTTCAAAATTTCATTTTTTTTTTTAAAGCTCGGATTTTGTCATTTGCCATGAAAACTTTGGTCATTTTAAGTTGTATAGATAAATTTAATTCATTTAATTTTGTGAAAATACCAGCCAAATTATGAAGTCATAATTACCAAATTTTATCAGAAGTCTTAGTTGTAAATAAAATTGGTGTCATTAAAACGTATAACTCGTTGTGCAATTCAAGTTACCAGTGTTTTCCTCAATAACTAAGACATTTAATAATATATAAATTTAGATAATTAATATATGCCCACAGTGCCCCTAGACTTCTTCCGCGGAGCCCTAGGGTTCCACAGAGCACAGTTTGAGGATCGCTGTACTAACCTAATGTAAATAATGTAGTAACTTTACAGTTCATATAAATCTATGACAATTTTAACATAAAATAAATGCAAGTCTAGGCCAATGTTTCAATATTCACTAAACTCACATTGACACATTTTATAACTCTTACACCATAATTAGTTAGCTGGAGTACATTTTGAATTTAAACTTAAAAGTTTAATTAATACTTAAAGGCGCTTATATACTTCATCAATAAATAAATATTATTTTGTAATATCCTTCATTTAAAGCAACTTTTTATTTTAAATAAATTTCTCAGTAATATTTTCTAAATAATTTAATACAAACATCTAATGATTAAATACTAGATGCAAAATGTAATAAAATTATATAAACATTTTCATGGAAACATTACTACATTTAACTAAAATATACAAAAACAAATATAAGTTAAATACAATCACTAATAAGTAAACTATTACTAACCAATACATTTTAATTATTTAACTATATATTTCAAAAGATAATTTGAAAATTTATTTTTAACTATTTATTACAGAAATATAATTTATTATGAAAAATTGTTTGATGCATTCGTTAAATATCTCAAGTACATGAAACTCATTTATATGAAACAAATAGTTATAATTATCACAGTTGTATATTTAAGAAATTAAATCATAAATTTATATTAAATATTCTACAAATACATCTACATCTTTTCATTATTACAAATTCCTTTTACGTTTTCCACCAATCCGGAACAAATGTCTTAGCTTTAAATCCACCAACAACTAATTGTTGCGCTTTCAGACATTCATCAATTCTTAAAAGTGCAATACCAACCTTCCCACATAATCCTCTCAGTTTTCCTGGTGGTCTCTTGGTATTTAATTCAGATTCACAGTAAATATCAGTATTTAAATCTAAACCAATTGGTGTTTCATCAAAAATTAGAGGCATTATTCTTTTCCTTGTTACTCCAGTATGATAAGTCCTAGCTGTCAATTCTTGTCCAATATAACAACCTTTATTGAAACTTATGCCATTTAAATAATCACAATTCATTTCTAATGGAAAAGATTGACCCTTCAATAATTCACTGCCTTCTGAAACACCATTTATATATCTCCATTGTTGATAAGTCAACTTGTTGTCACGTTCATCTAAAAATATTTCATTTCTAATGCCTGAAGTTTTATCAGATATAATTCTTTGACCCAGAATAGGTATTCGAGGATCATTAAAAACACTGACAGAATTAAATTCCATGGTTATAGGCTTAGAGCTAAATAATGCCCAGACACAAATATCATCTAATATATTAATATCGAGTTTTCTTCTAAGTAGATATATTTTAAAATATTTCACCAAGTCACTGGCATCATCTTTGTCACATTCCAATAACAAATGATCATCCATTTTATAAATCAAGCAATCATATAAAACGCGGCCTTTTGAATTTAATAGTAATGTAAATAATGATTTTTCTGTTTGTAGTCTGAATATATCATTAGTCATCAAACCCTGACAATAATCATATGCACCATCTCCTTGAATTTTTATTAGACTTCGATGACCAAGAAGCTCTAACTTTGGTTTGTATAGAGTTGTAGAAAAAAACCGCGTAAACTTCACTGGCATTCTCATTGTTCAAAACCTTTGAAAAACATACGATACCAACTAATTAATAGTATAATACTTCTAATATTAACTATCATGTAATATGCGGTCTAAAGTGTGTATGAATGTATTAAACACATTTTTATTTATTTAAAAAAAATGATAGTATTAAAAAATTAAATACTAAGAATAATTATCAACTTAATTATAAAAATCAAATTTTTACATTATAGTAAAAATAATGCTGATAAATTTTAAAAACAAGATTATATCTCAAAGTTATAATTTAAAAATAAATAATAAAATAATATATAAATTTATTAATTATTTGCTTTTCAATTTATTTATTAAAAACAAAGTTAAAAAATATTAAAAGATAAACACCGCATACTACATAAACTGTAATTAATAATTCAAAATTATATAAATGATAACACACTTTGAACTGGGCATTGTAAACAAATATAATCATATTAAACTCTAACATACGTTACGACATACAACAAATACAATATATTTATCCAAAGTATAAATAAGACACTAAAATATGAAAAATTATACTCATATTTTAAATTGATAATTAAAATGAGATTTACTACACATATTTTTTAAATTAATTTTAATTATATACATAAATTATGTATGCATTATATAAATAATAAAATATTATGTACATTCAATATAATGTTTCAATAAATTGGAGCAAAAGTAAGCAATAACTAATTTGAGTTATCTACCTTAAATCTAAAGTTTAATAAAACATAAAACGTTATACGAGTTATCATAAATTAGTAGTATATGTAAAACAAAATAAATTAGAATATAATATTTAAAATTACTTTTCAAATATTAAAATATTTATATTTTTTATTCAATAATAAATAAATGATAGATCATAATTTTTAAAAAGAATGAGTTTAGTAATTGTATTAATTATAATAAATTCATTATTTAGAAATACAAATTTTAAAATATATTGGGAAATTGTGAAAATAATCAATAAATAAAAATGAAACAATAACTATTCATGCAAAATAAATATTATTAATTTAAATTTAAATTAAATATCTCAAATAATAAAGTATATAAAGTTATAATAACTAAAATATTAAAGAGAGCTAAGAATAATTTAAGGAAATTGATGGTAACGGTTAGATGTATTAATAGATAAATGGTTAGCAGATAAATAATTTCCATTATATAAAATACAGTACAATCTCGGTAATCTGACCGTTCAATTATCCGATACGTCCAGTAATCCGATTATTTTAACCTATACACACCAATATGTATTTTTATATAAAATTACTATCATATTAATGATATAATGTTAGATAAAACTAAGTAATAACAGATTAAATACAAATAAACCTATAAGATATTTTATTTTTATTCAGTTAACGTTGGAGTGTTGTACGTGTTCATTATGTATACCGGTTAGGTATAGTGTATTACGAATTACATTAAAATGTCGCAACATTTATTAACATATAATAATAAAAATTCATTTTTTTATGTCAGTAAAAATGTAAAATTCAATAAGTAAAAATGCGTTTTTTATATATGAACCCTCGTTAATCCGCCATTTTTGTTAATCCGGCAGTAGCTTGGTCTTATATGTGTCGGATTATTGAGATTTTACTGTACTTTGATAAATAATTAATAAGTTCAAAAAAATTTCAATAACAATTAAATTGTATAGCTAATTGTATATTGTATTGTATAGGAATTAATGCACTACATGTTTATAATATTCAACATTTTAGTATAAATTTCTTAAAATACAAATTTATTATAATTAAAGTATTTAGAGAATGCAAGTATTCTTCAAAAAAATTATTTAATTACCAATGGTTAAAATTATAAGTGGATAATAATTAATAATTTATAGCTTTATATCTTTAAACTGATTAAATATAAGTAATATATGTTGTATCTTATTAAAATTCCAACATTTTGTTATAAGAATATAAATATCACACTATAATAATAAATTAACAACTAATACTAGATTACATTTATAAAAAAAAATAACTTAAACTTTAATTAAAACAATTAATGATTTAAATTTACTACTAAAATATATATTCAAAAAGTATAGACATTATATACTTTTTGTACATTAGTACAAAAATTGTATATTTTGTACAATTGTACATTGTAGAACAATTAGGTACATACAACAATTAAAACATAAACAATCAAAGCAAACTTAGACTTCATAAAATAATTTAGTTGCAATAAATGAGGATAAATCATAATTTTTAAATAATATAGTTAAAATAAAACCCATTGATAATTTTATAGTAAAATTAAATATGATAGACCACATACAACATGATTGATATTAGATATTATATACTATACTTAGATTAAAAATGTAAATTTTATAATACCGGTTTTTATTTCTGGTGCATACAAGTACATTAAAGTTGTAATACAGGAAAGTATTATGTTGTCATCGCCAACACTCAAATTGTTTTCAATATTTTGAATACCACCATTTCCAATGATATAATTTTTATTTTCTGGATCTGAAAGATTATGAAACACAAATTAAAACTTCAATATAAATATTATAAAACTATTATCAGTGGGCAAAACTGATAAAAAATTAATTCTCATAATATTTTGTTTATAAGATAAAAATAATTTATAACTTATCTGAAATGTATGTTATTTTAAAAGAAAAAAATATTATAATTAGTTTAGTATGTAAAATTAAGGCTATAGCATTGATTATATAATATTATCTATTCTATAATTAATGGCTATAGTAATATACATATGAAAGACACAATATAATAGAGTAATTGAAACATAAAATTAAGTTTAATAAATAATATTCTTAGGTGCTGAAAATTCAAGATTTTGAACAAAAGGACCTTCATTTAAAGTTGTAATTCCTGTCAAGATTAAGATAAATGAATAATAATAAAAAATCTATATAAGTATATCATCTATTCTTGTAATAGTTAAATATTCTCAATTATGGATATAACTAAAGAATATTTACAACATTTAGCTATACATCTGAATTTAAATTAGATTTCACCCATCAAAACATATTTGATCAATTTATACTCAATATTACATTGGAAAAACACAATGTATACACCTAATAATCAAAAAATGCCATACATGAATATTATATGTTACCATTTGCTAGATTACAGAGTCCAGCTGCGGCGAATGCTATCAATTTGTTGTCGTCTGAAAGTAGCTGTTCTATAAATAAATCTATCACCTTCTGAGAGCGTATGTATGGATAATTGATAGGATCATAAGAAAAATTGGCAAGGTTAGCCAACACTTGATATTTGGATTCTTAAAAAGATTAAAGCAAAGTATCAATTGACAGTTCAAACAGATACACTAAAGCTAATTAAAGGTGACCCATCATCTTACCTGTACTAGTGGTCTTCCGGAACTCTTGAACAAGCTGTTTCAGAAACTCTGGTCGGTTAATTCCATCGACCGGAGTGTGCTTTAACAAGTCCTGCGGCTTGTGAAACATAAATGAAAAATATCACGAAAATAGTGCAAGTATGCCCGATGGCAATCGCACAACTTAACTCACTGAACGGTGCTGCTGATAGCTAATTGATGATAAGTATTATCGGTGACGAAAACCAGCGTAAATTTCTTATCTCACAGTTGTAAGATGTGGATAGATGGCGTTTCTATCGTGCACCGTTGAACGTCGCCGATGTACAACCAACGAAACACCCACCCGCGCTGCCCGTCGAAAGTTCATTTTCGCTACGCCAACAGACGTGCGCACTCGCCGCACGAATATCTTGTCAGAGATCGAGTCTCACTTACTTACTTTTTTTCTTTTTTGTTGTTTTTGTTTCACCTTTTTCTCTTGCTCTTCTTATTTTTATCTGTCGTGCGTTATAGTTTTATTTACAGTACATTAACTGCCGTTGACGCCTAAATCATTTTTTCTGTTCGCTAAATTTGATATAATAACGACACATTTCCCTGACCAATATCAACTTAATGACCATATGATCGCGCCGAAAATGGAACCTGCATCGAAGTTCGAGTCACAAGCACACCGTTGGTAAGTTAAATGTTGTTTGATTTTTTTTTTAAGTTGTATTATGTACTCATTCGGTAATGTGAACCGCGCAACACCACCGACTTCTAGTAATCTGTTCTGCCAAGATGTACTGGTAAGTGTTGGTAGGTTGATGATTATCCGTAGAAAAACACACCTTTTAAATCGATGGATATGGTTTTAGTATCCAAATTTCACGCGACTTCATCACCCATTCTCAGGTGGTGGTGTATCCCAAATCGCTGTTTTCCAACCAAAACCTACAAACTGGACAACGCAAGTCCGATTTTACGTACGTCGATGTAACGACTTAACCGATATACAATGCTACCCATTTTAATTATTAATATTAATTAAAATGGTACTTTGACCGTGTGTACGTACGGCTTATAAATATACATTTTTCCGGCAAGCATTTTTGACGTGATAACGACAACGTCGTGCAAAGCGTAGTGCACGCACGCGTGTCAAGGGTTGGGGAATGGTCGAACGGGGTTTTCTATTGCAACGGTTATTTTTAGCGGTAGAACTCTATGTACGTTATGCTTCCGCCGGGTGATTAACCCCCATGCCGCTAACGATAAGACGGTCGACACGAGCGAGCGCGCACATGCACGTTTGTTGCTACGACCAGCGCGTGTGTGACCGACGAGGCGACGACCGACCGCCAGGACACTTCTGGACCTGCCGCCGAATCCTGTTCTGGACCGTTGTGCTCGATGCGCGCGCGTTCACGATCGTTGCCCTTGACACAAACTTGGTCAGCGGGTAGGTGGTTAGGTAAAAGGACCGGTCGCACCGTTTCGTGCTGGACGTTGACCGGACACTGTCGCCGCGCATATGCACACGTGTCGTCGGAACTTTGATACCCAAGCGCGCCCGCTGCTGTCGCGGGTACTTAAATACATAAAAATGTATTTATAAAACTCCTAACGATTGCCAAAATGCTAAAGACATAAATATATTTTCAAAATTTATCGTCTTGCATCACAACCTACCGTTCTTTTTTATCTCCATCGATAGATATCTCTTTTTCACACACACACACACACACACACACACACCAACAAACGATGATTATCCGCGCTTTCCAGTTTTCTTTCGTTTTGCATGTCGACCTGTTCGTCATTCTTCCTATAAATCATTATCACTGTAGACACCGAATTAACGATCAGTCGTTAGAATTTAATTTTTCCCCAGTCGTTGTGCCCTCGATGTTATATAATAATCGCCCTAAATATAGTGCTAACGACCGCGTAAGTGTATGTGTTTAAATAGGTACTTGTGTGTGTGCATTTGGATTAATTAATACTATTATAAATCCATTGTTTTATGACGTTGTTGTTGCAACCCTGAATGTCTCCGTGAACAAGTGCGTTGGAATGTGTAATCGTCGATGTCGTTAATTACTCTTCAGCCCTTCAACATGTTGCACATATTCATAATTAATATTATATCTTAGAAACTATTTTATAGTTGACAACACTTAGAAAATTATGAACATTCACAGACCAGATTAATTCCATATTAGTACCCTCTCGACCCATAGCGGGTTCATGTAATTATTTATCAAATGGACTTTGAAAGGATCATAATATCATTTATTTCAAACACAACCATCTTGAGAAAAAAAAACTACAGTGAAACGAAAACAATTCACGGTTAAATTAATTATGATAGGCGAGAGTTCGCCTTATACATTTTATACTGAAATATAAAATGAAACATGTTCAACACCACATTGTTTGTTTTGACTATTTTATATTTTTCGTAAAATTTGTTATTTGCTCATTCACGCGGAGACGACGACTGCGCAGTACAGACTGGGCACACATGTTTTGAGAAGATTAAACGCGCTTTATCGCGACCACGCGGAAACAGCTAATTTTCAAATGTTGAGTTACGAATATTATAAATAACGTACTAGTAGTAGGCTTGGCGCGTTTCGACGTTTTCTCAGTGATATCTGATTCAGAAAATTTACGAGAAGTCTAAAAACTGCGACCGCACGTCCCGTTTTGTAGGTCACCACACGAGCGGGTGGTTAAACTCGTTGGGAAAATGCGGTGTCCTATTTTTAATTGTAGTGAAGGGAAAGAACGGTAATAACATAAACCGCGGCGCGAGTAGAACCCGACGATGACAGTGATGACACTGTACGGCTACCTATACAATAATATAACTGTATAATCGACCAGGATACGTTGTAAAACCGCATCTACATGCTCGCCCTGTATAAAAAAAATAATATAGTTTACGTCGACTCTCCAACGTTTTTTGGTCATGTTGTTGGTGGCAGTGGTTCTTGCCTGCCAGCAGTAATATTAGTTGTAGCAGCAGCAGCAGCGCAGCGGTGGTGGTGGTGGTGGTGATGGTGATGGTGATATCGTCGCAGCGCCAAACGCGTGTGAAGCAGTAGGCTTATTAAATATACACACTATGCGCTCGTTCCCTGATAGGGCGACTGGTCAAAGTGCACAACTATTATTGTTGTTGAATGTTACGAACGCGTATGTGTGTGCGAGTACGGTGCGTGTGCATACGCGCGCGCGACTCTCTACGCACGCTAGGGGAGAGGCCTCGCGTTTGCCGCGTTGCCATATCGATTGCGGCGACTGGGCTTATAGCCTATATATTTACTACTATTGGACCTTGACGCGTTATAATGTGTTCGGCGTTTGAAAACGTTACGTCGTAAGCGCGCGTGAAGCATCGCTCCTCGCGCATTGTTCGTGTCGTATCGGCGCAACGTGGCCATATTAAGCTGCTACCGGGGCTAAACCTACAAGAACAATAATATTAACAAATTGTTGCTATCCGATAGTTTCCCCTAACAATCGCCGTTTTTCTCGGGATGCTGCTTTGTAAAAAAAAAAATAAATAATAATAATAAAGTACAACACCATCGCTGAAAGTTCGCGACATGACAGCAATCGCGTGCATTGAAACGCAACCATTCGTACATCACCCGACGCGCTCTGATTGCGGTATAATTTGTTAATTTTCGTCCAACCATGTGCTATCGGTACACTCTTTTTTCTATGGTTTTTGAGGCTTTTGCAATTATTTTCCAATCGATTTCGTAGTCTAATAATTAGTAGAGTATTACATCTTAGGTCTTGTCTATTAATTTATTATTGTTTTCATCCTTACTTAAATAGATATGTATGGAAGTATAATTCGACTAAAATGGTTTACCTCGTAGCGTTGTCAGAATTTTGAAAATATAAATCTGTTGTAAGATAAAATTGATTTATTTGCATTTCGCTTTGATTGTATTATAATTAATTAAGTATCTTTATTGGTTTAAAATAACTTGTAATAGTAAATTTTTGATTATAATCCCTACAATATTATCAAAAGATTCAATTACATTGAACTATTAAAACACTATAACTGGTTGAATAAAAAAACA